GTGTGTGTGTGTGTGTGTGTGTGTGTGTGTAAAGATATAGCTTGTCAAAGATGGACTCTACTACAGCACCACTCAAGTTCAAAATACTATTTTCAGTCATTTAGTGGAATCCAAATTTAGCACAATTGTAGAGGTCAAGATGAATCTTCACATAACCAAATGTTTAATTAGGACTAAGAGGTAAGGCAATTTTTATTTGATTTCTAAGCAGTGAATTAAGGTTTAAGTAAATTAAACCTTCATACAATAATCACACAACATACATACATATATACAAGTTGAATTTACCTTGGTGTTATCAAATGCTAACAGCAGGGTTCTTCCATTTGTTAAAAAGATCTCTACAGCATTATCTCTCAGTTGCCACCAACGCTTATGAACTTCTTTAATTTCCTCATATGTCCAGGAAAATGATGCTGGTTCTAACTCTCCCTGAAGGCTCTAAAACAAAGGAAATAGGCAAAAGTACTTGTTTTATATCAAATGTAAATAATTATTTTAATTTTAGATTTTAAAAAAATATTCAAATAAAACAAAAAAAGCTTTTTTTTTTTTTTGTGGAAAAAATGGTGGTAAGATTACCTGAAAATGCTCCCACTATAAAACACTTCAAATTATTAGATAAAAATCAGTAATAAAAAATTAAGACTTTTTTGGGACCAGTTTTAGGTTTACAGAAAATTGAACAGCTATTAAGACAGTCCCCATGTATTCTGTCCCCTGCCCCTTATACTCAGTTTCCTTATTAAGATCTTGGAAACAACAGACTCACTGAGAGAGGAACTGGAGAAACAACTCCTTTCAAAATAGAATCCAAAAAAATGAAATATCTAGGAATCAATAAAATAAAAGAAATAAAAGACCTCTACTATGAAAACTACAGTACTCTGAAAAAAGAGATTGAAGAGGATATCAGAAAATGGAAACACATCCCTTGCTCCTAGGTAGGAAGAACCAATATAGTGAAAATGGTCATACTTCCAAAACTGCTATACAGATTCAATGCAATTCCACTTGAAATTCGAACAGCATATTTCACAGAACTTGAGAAAACAATCCAAAAATTCAATTGGAACAGTAAGAGACCCAGAATAGCAAAAGCAATTCAAGGCAACAAAGACAAGGCAGGGGATATCACAATCCCCAACTTGAAAATATACTACAAAGCTACCGTGATAAAAACAGCATGGTACTGGCAAAGAAACAGACATGGGGATCAGTGAAAAAGATTAGAAGATGCAGAAACAACTCCAGACACACTTAGCCACCTGATCTTTGACAAAGGAGCCAAACACCCTCACTGGAGGAAAGATAGCCTCTTTAATAAATGGTGCTAGAAAAACTGGATTTCAACTTGCCAAAGATTAAAACTAGACCTGTATCTCTCACCATGCACTAAAGTAAAATTGAAATGGATCAAAGATCTAAATATTAAACAGAAACACTAAATCTGCTGGAAGAGAGATTAGGTAGAGCTCTTGAAGACATCAGCATAGGAAAAGACTTTATGAACAAAACCTCAGTCGCACATGAACTAGCACAAAGAATCAACAACTGGGATCTCATCTTATTAAAAAGCTTCTGCACAGCAAGAGAAACCACCAACAGAGTGATGTGAGAAAAAATTTTTACCAGCTGTTCTTCAGACAAAGGACTACTATCTAGAATATATAAAGACATTTAAAAATTCAGTCCCCCCAAATTTAAAGACTCAATCCAAAAATGGGCATCTGAAATGAACAGACATTTCTCAGATGAAGAAGTAGAAGCAGCAAATAAATATATGAAAAAATGTTCAACATCACTGGTCATTCGAGAGATGCAGATGAAAACAACACTGAGATTCCACCTC